AAAAAACAGTAACTACTGAACATAGAAGGAGGGAGGGAGATTTGTATTATCTGATTGCCTGCCAAGCACCTATACCTCCATATGGGGTATTTCAATTAATCTGTTCAAAATTCTCCTAGATGAGTTTTAATAGCCACTATCTTAAGAATAGAAACTCTTGCTCAGTGAAATTAAGCCATTTGTTCATACAGAGAAGAGAGCTGATTCCAGGTCTGCTAAATAACTCCTTCCTCTGCATGGAAGGAAACAGCACAGGACTCAAGCCATGACTTAGCCTCACCCTGCTAAACCTCAGGGAGATGTAACGCCAAGAAAGAAATCCTCTGTCTGACCAGAAATGGCATGTCTACCAACTGCAAGCAAGCATTCTGAGAGTATACTTAGATTTTGTAGGAAGACAGAGTTATATGATGGATTAGCAATGCCTGCAAGACACAGAGTGTTATGGGTTGAATCGTATCCCTCCAAAAAGATACATTAGAGTCCTATCCCAGTACCTCAGAATGTGACCTTTTTGGAAATAGGGTCTTTAAAGAGGTAATCAAGCTAAAATGAAGTCTCGCGGATGGGCCCTCATCCAATATGACTGGTGTCCTTTTAACAGAGGAGAAATTTGGACACAGAGAAAGAAATGCACACAGGGAGAACACCGTGGGAAGATTGGAGTTGTTATCACAAGCCAAGGAACTACCAGAAGCTAGGAGAGTGGTCTAGAACAGATCCTTCCCTATAGCCTTCAGAGGGATCATGGCCAGCAGACACTTGATGTCAGACTTCCAGCCTCTGGAATTGACAGACAATAAATTTATATTTTTTAAGCCACCCAGTTTGTGGTACTTTGTCATGGCAGCTCTAGGAAATGAATACAAGGGGTAAGAATATGGTGCCATGAGAGCCACCTATTAACAATCCTCCACCAGAATGTGAGTGACCTCATCACCTCTGAATCCTTGGCCCAGTGCCTGGAAGAGAAGATGCTCAATTAAAAAACTGAGTTGAACTGAATAATATGGGGCCAGTATAATGGGAAGTTGGCCCTTTGCCAAAGCTATGTTGCAAAAGCAGGTCACACATTGCTCTAGCAGGTATTCTTTGGAAGAAAAGAAAAGATTCAATGCTTACATAAAGGAGAGAAGGCTAGATGAGAGACCTCAGCAAACTGGAGAATGAATAGATATGTACTGAGTGAGGAAATTCTCTTTTACAGTGTCTGGGATTGGTGTCACATCTCTAGGTGTCTGGAGAAAAATTAAAGTGAAGTAGATTATTATTAACCTTGATATGATTTTTTCACTTGAGACTCAGGCTAACAACATGTTTAGAGTCCTGAAGGCACAAATGCAATTTATTCTGTGATTGAATGCCATCAGATGAAGCTACCCCACTCATTTTCAAACTTTGTATTGCACTGTGTTAGCTCATTTCTTGGTACCACACTATTTGCATGAAGTATTTTCAGATAAATATCATATTTCAGCAGTATGTTCATGAAGCATAGATAATACAAAATGTAAAATTAGCATACTAGTGGAGCTTAACTATCACGGAGGCAGGCTCTTTGGTTCAAAAGCTGAGGGCCAGTATATATACACAATGGAATACTACTCAGCCATAAGAGACGATGAAATCCAGCCATTTGTGACAACATGGATGGACATTGAGGGTATTACGCAAAGTGAAATAAGTCAGAGGGAGAAGGTCAAATACCGTATGATTTCCTGCATTAAGTAGTAAATAATAACAACAATAAACAAACATATAGAGACAGAGATTGGATTGGTGGTTACCAGAGGGGAAGGGGGGGAGGGAGGAGGGCAAAAGGGATAATTCGGCACATGTGTGTGGTGATGGATTGTAATTAGAATTTGGGTGGTGAACATGATGTAATCTATGCAGAAATAGAAGTATAATGATGTACACCTGAAATTTATACAATGTTATAAACCAATGTTACTGCAATAAACAAAAAATTTTTTACAAAAAGCAAATTAGCTTGGGTTGCAGTTTTTCGAACAATTTTATTGTGGTATAATTGACATACAATTAACTGCACACTTAAAGTATACAATTGGATAAGTTTTAGCATATGTATACACCTATGAAATCATCAGTACAATAAAGATAAGGAATATATCTATCACCCCCCTCCAAAAAAAAAAAAAAAAGCTAAGGAATTTGGCTAATACCGGACGATCTTACAGCTCTCCAAAACCAAAATGACACATCTCATGAGCAACTTTCAGATCTGCTCCCAGGAGTTACTCATGCATGTCTTCCTCTAAGGAAAGACATGCCTGGTGGTTTCAATGGGAAATGGAGAATCTGAGGATGTGACTTGAAGTAGAGTTCTATCTGAAAGCAGCTCTCCTGAATACAAATTTTCTTGAATCCAAAAATCGTAATAATTATTGTTATTATTAACATTTGCTGCCTACTTGCTCCACGCTATGCACTGTGCTGAGTTCTTTTCTTACATTATCTTATTAAATCATCATGAAGACCTAAGACTTACCTCACTTCTAGAGAAAGGAATTATTATGACTGCTATTTTATAGATAAAGAAGATGAGACTCAAACAGGTTAAGTAACTTGCCCATATTCATTCAGCTATTAAGTGACAGGGCCAACATTTGAACTTACATTCTCTGACTCCCAAATATTCTGTCTGTGAGACCTCCTTCTAATTTATACTATTTCATTTCCTAGTATCCAGTTTCCAACCTTCTTTACCATCACATAATCGTTTGGGATATAACGGTGAAACAGGAAGTCGTTATCTCTAGCTCTTGAAGTTACTTCTTCATTCTTTCATTTACTCAGAAAGTTTGTATACAGAGAACAGTATAAACTAGTATTACTATGTTTAAAAAGATAAAGAAAAAAATGGACATAAGATGCTACATAAATTTATCTACAGCCCCCATACATCCCAAAGTTTTGAGAGGAAGGTCATAGTTTTAAATATTTAGATCACCTATTTCTATTTAGAGTGCAGAAAATGTAGTTACCATCAAAGAGAGACGGAATCCAGGAGTATATCAGGCAAACTAGGACACCCAGACTTCGAGTCTCCAATGGACTGGAGATTTAAAAAGCTTGCGCAAAAGAACAGTCACCCTCTCCGAATGACCAAAAAGCCCCTTTTAAATTACCATGTATAATGATGACAATTATAACTTAATCCAAAACAAAACAAAAACCAAGGACAAATGAAATTCACTACAAAGTAAACCTCAAAATCAAATATGACGATTGTTACAGGAAAAGGAAACTGAGCACGTTCTACGTGACAGGATATTACATAAACTCTCTTAATCATTGTTCCTTTTTTTTTTTTTTTTTCAGATGAAAAAACTGAAGCTCAAAGAAGCAAAGGAAATTGCCCAACACGGTTAGTAAAGTGGCAGAGCCAATATTTAGATGTATTTTCTGTGCTAAAAGCTGTCACGTTTCCACTAAATAGATTTTAAATAGCACACATCTTAACCCTAAAGGAGTTCCATATCCAGACTGCATGTAGGTTATAAAGCAAGGCCTTGTAACAAAGCATCAAGCCTGCATTGGTGGATACCAGTCTCAGAAAAGAAAAGAGACAGAAGTAAGACTTCAGCCTTGAAGAAAGGGGGGTTCCTTTGTATTAGTCTGAGCTAACGTGTTAGGTGAAGTACTTTACAGTTTGTGAGATCATTATCTAATTTGATGCAATAGTCTCTTGAGAGTAATAAATTAGTCCATTAGCATGACGGTGTTAGTATTCCCAGATTTCAATTCCTCACAAAGAATAGAAAAATTCAGAGATAGCAAGAACCCTCCCTCAAAACTGGTTAGTTCAGAGACATGCAGAATTTGCCGATAATTCTTCTTTTTTTCTGGTTTGTAAGACTTCCTTTGAAGTATCAAGACAGTTATATTTAAATATTATCAGATGGGTATGGGTATAAAGATAGTGTATTTCATTCTCCTCCATACACAGAACACAGTTTTTCAGGTACCCACTGCCTTCGCTTTCATCCCATTCAAAATAGCAAAAAGAGTCAAATTACAGCAAGAAAGAGTACAAATGCTCCTGGCTCTGGTTCCATTTTAGTTCTCTCCATTAACCTCAAAAAATGGTAATTCAAGAACACAAAAGACTCAGACTGTTAGAGGATGAAGATACTATCTACTTTTCCTTCCCCGACACACTGTGATTTGTATACTTTATAGTGGTTACATTTAAGCGATTAATTCATAACATGACAGAGGCAGCACGCAAACAGACTTACAGCTTATTTTTAATAGGTGCTAATACATTTGTGCCTTTCTTGCCAGACTTCCCTTCTACAAACATTTGGTTTCCCAGATTATATCCATGAAAATTAATGATCTGTCACTAGGCCCGCCTATGTCTTAATGAAGTAGTTACTCAGAGTGATTGAAGTGAGGTGTGAGAAGCTTGCTTCTCCAGGGGATGATAAAGCCCTTTCCTCATTCTTTGCACAAATTTAATTAGGTAAAAGCCAAAAAAAAATTACTTTCACGCAATGATTTTGCATTTTTCAACAAGCGAAAAGGGTTTTGTCCGTGTTTGAAAGTTTTCTGCACAGAAAAGTCAATAAACAGAAGACATCAAAAATTCTAATGTATTTGTAAATTCTTTGCTTTGTGAAAAGCAAAATGCATGGTTCATACAAGTGAATATCTTTCTTGAGCAACTCATAATTCACAGGGCTAAGTGCTTTAAAAAATAATAATAAAAACAGGGAGGTTTGCTAAAGAGTAAGAGAGGGTGGAAAGGGGAGCCTGCACTAAGCGGACTGACCTCCTCCAGGGAGATGGCATTCGTGTTGAAATCTGCATGCCACCAAGAGCCAGCGGGAGGAGGCATGGAGGAAGACTGGTCCAGGCAGAGGGAACACCCAGCATAAAGACCCAGAGGCAGGAACACATTTGTCACGTTAGGCAGAGTTTCTTAACCTTGACATTAGTAATATTTGGGGCTGAATAATTCTTTGTTATTGGGTGTGGTTCTGTGCATTGTAGAATGGTTAGCAGCATCCCTGGCCTCTACTCACTAGATGCCGTAGTGCCCCCTCCCCTGCAGTTGTGACACCCAAACGTCTCCAGACATTACCAAATGACCCCTGGAGGGCAAAATCTCCCCTGGCTGAGTGAGAACTGCTGTGTTACAGGAAAAGACAGAGGCCATGTGGCTGGAGCAAGTGGAAGAACTAAATCGACAGCAAAGAAATAAAATTAAGCCAGAGCTAAGTCATCTATGCCAGCACCACTTCAGGCCTCGAGACCTCGGAGAGCTTGCTCTCTGGCATACTGCAGGGTTCCATGTCAAACTCACACTGGCCCAAATTTAGTGTGACAAAACCAAGGACTTCATCTATCTCAAGGAACTAGGGGACAGCAGAGGTGGTTTGTGCCCCGCTGCCTGTGTCCGACCTCAGCATGCTCACCAGCCCCTTGTACCCTCTCCGCGATCCCAAGCCATGTGCCCGGGCTCCCTACAGCCTGCCTCCAGCGGCTTTGCCTCTCTGTTTATCCAGTCCATTCATGCCTTGATTCTCTGCAGAAGAGAGAAGTCTTGTCATCTCCAAAACCCAGAGAGGTGAATGCTCCAAGATTTTAGAGAAAATGGTTTCATGAGGATGGTGGTTGTATAAGGTACCTTCTCAGCATCAAGAAAGAAGTAAGTAATGAGTAAATAAGGAATCTGGAATTTAACGCACATTTTTATACACACTTTTCTCATCTATTTTGTTTATCTATGAAATGAGATCACTTTTATTAAGTACCTGTTTAGCCACCAGATAGGTCTGGGGGAAAATGGATTGTACAGTGTGCCTCTAAATAAGCAATTAAAAATCACGGTGATGGTCAAAGGGAGGCAGGGAACCACAAGGTGGTGAAGCAGCAACGGATTATCCCAAGAAAGTTAACTTTGCTCCAAGATAAGTTACTAACATATAATTACAGACTATGTTGACTAGGAGTGGGAGTAAGTCTCATCTTTCCTCTGAGCCTCAAAACTAGACAATGCTCCATAAAGCCTGAGCTAGCAAATAGACCACCACGATCCTTTCTTCAGGAAGGCATGGATTAAATAAATACATCTTCCAGTTAAAGGAAGTCTATATATGGTGCTGTTCAGGCATATTTACTTATTTTCTTCTTTGTCATATCTCCTAAAGGTCAAAATTTTATAAGAGATTTTATAAAGAAGGGCAAGTGTATTGCAGTTATTTTATCCTGGATAGGAGAAAGCTGGTGGTCTTATTTTTATGTGTAACCTAACACATGTTTAGTATTGGTATGTGCCAAGAAGTTCTAAGCATTTTACTCATGCTAATGCATTAGGTGTCACAACAATTCCGTGAGGCAGGTGTTATTATTTCCCTGACTTTAAAGATGAGAAACGTAGACACAGAGAGATCAAGTGATTTGACAAGGTTGCACAGCTACTGAGGGAAGGAGGAGGACTCGAACCCAGGCAGGGCCTATGAGACTACCACCTCCCACATGGCTTCTCAACAACAATTCAGGAGGAGGAAACACAAGGTTATTTGTTTGCTTTTTTTTTTGTTAGATAGAATGAAGAAACACAATTCTCCTAAGAATCAAAGGGCTTAAAACACAGAAAATAGGTTTTTAGGGTAAGCACAAGGGAAAAAAACCCTGGCTATTTGGGTTCAAAGATATCACACCAGATTATTGCCATATCGATAGACCCCAGTCTCTGAAAATTCAAGAAAAAATAATAATAGGTTGCTAATCATCAATTGCTGATTTATGATTGGAAATGGGGGTACAGAGGGAGGATGGGATGACCTCAGAGAAGACATTTGTTTCCTTTCTGGCAGTACCACAATTGATCTCCTGGAATCAGACATCAAGTAGATGGGCCTTCAAGTTCCAGAAATCTCTCTGCCGTCTCTGTTTCCCTGTCCACTTCACTCTCAAGGTTGTTAGACCCATCTGTATCTTTTCATTTTCCTTAGTTCTCTGAAACACAATACAGGGATGTGATACACTCTGTGGGCAAGCAGCTGGAAAGTGTAACTTCAGGTTTGGGAGGCATCAAACAACAAAATGCGTGGTTCCCTCGCTGACATAAACGTATTTCCTAATAAAATGAAGCATGACAGGCTTCCTGTGGGCAACGCTGATGTCACTGTAGACACTAAAAGAAAGAATATTCTTTGCATAGAATTTGAGTCTATCTAAAACGGCATACATGATTGAAAGATGGCAGAGCTATACACGTATTTCTTTTGTCAGGTGTCAGCATAAAAGAATAATTAGCAGCTTTTATGAGCTCCCTAATCATCAATCTATTTTAATACTCATAGATTGTAACAGTAGGAAAATCTTTGTTTTCTCCCCAGCATCTAGCTGGACCAATCATTATGCAATTGCTAGAAATATATAAATAAATGATTCTTTAATAATGCATTCATGTTCTGACCAGAAAAGGAAAGGCTAGAGTTTACAAGGGGATAAATCTATTTCTAGACATAACAAGGGAGGAGAACTGGCAGGCAGACAGTTGAAGAAGAATGTTATGATCCACGCATAAACTGAGATGGACCAGGCTGGACTCCAAAGTCCGGGACTGGTCCAAGACCAACTCTATTTGATCAACAAACACTCATGGAGTTGCTACTTTGTTCTAGGAACTGTGCTACATGTTACAGTATCTCACTTAATCCTCCCAATGATCAGGTTAAACAATCACTAGCATTTTATTTTTAAACAGATTAGGACCCAAGTCTCAGAGAGACTAACTATCTTGCCCAGGCCACCAGCCTCATTAAAGGTACATTTGGAATCCACCACGGATCTGACTGCGTCCCAAGTAGGAGCTCAATAAATGGTAGCTTTGGGATGTTGATCACGATGACATGTTTCCATCTCAGTATTCCAGCACGGCACATAGCTCTCAATAAAGACTGTCCACTCAATGAGCCAAATAAGTCAATTAGACCACAAGTGATTTCATATTAGGCACATGATAGAGTGCAGGTAGACCTGTGAAATAAAGGTTGCAACCCTGGCATTTATAAACCAGTCATAATGAGTTATGAGCCAGGCAAAGCTGCTGGGCAACCATACAGCCAACATGTGGCTCCCTCTGCCTGGAACTCTCTTCCTTCCCCTCTTCATCTAGGTAACTCATGCTCATCTTAAAATCTCAGATAGATGCCACTTCCTCAAGGTCCTACCCTCCTCGACTAGATCAAATTCCCCTGTTGTATGCTCTCGTAGCACGGAACCTCTCCTACATAGAGCTCACCACAGTCAAGGTTCACATTTAATTGTGCAACTATGTGATTGACAATTCTGCCCCCATGAGACTGTATGCTCCCTCTTGGTGGCAGAGACCATTTGGCTTTGGGACACCATTGTGTCCCAACTGCCTGGACAGGTGAGGCAATCACCCAATAAATATTTGTTGAATAGGAGAATTAAAAGTTCAGTTCCTATGATGGCAGCCAACAAGGAGAAAGCTGACTCCCAGAGGCCATTTCCAGCCCTCTGATGCTCTTTGTAAACACACTCGGCTGTGCAGAATATAGCACTAATGAGGTTTCTCTGTGCCCTGGACACAGAAAGCTCTTGAGTCAGTGTCTCCTGCCAGCTTCATCTCACTTCTCCCTTCCCTTTGAGCCTAATTTCTTAGACGAGCAAGAAAGGCAAAAAAGGCAAGCTGGGCTGTCCAAGGAATGCTGGAACACATGATAACGAATGTAATGAAAGCATTTGCTTCCACACATTTATTACCTGCCACGGACGGGGAGTGGTTTCTGGGAGCACTTTGGAAGACGCAAAGAGAACCTCCGAGGAGATCGACCGCCTGTGCTCCCAGCAGAACACACTGGGCAGGCGCACTTGAACTTCAGCCCCTTCCCAGCTGAGAGTAAAATGGATCTGATCGAGGCATTGGGGTGAAAAGTGTTTCTGTAGTAAAGCTGCTCACAACAGCCCTGAACGGAAGAAATTGCTTTGTTGTCGATTCTATCACCAGCTCGCTACCATTAAACAGAGCTGGTGAAGCTTCCAGCAACCACTTTCAATTTCTATTTTAACACAAGAGCCTCTGTTTTCCCCAAGAACATGATATTCAACCACCGAGGGCAATTTATTCTGTTTCTTCATACTGGGTGTTCTTCCCGAATCTCGATCTCCCTCTTTAGCCAAGGAACGTGCAGAAGTAGAAACAGGCGGCAGAGAAAGCTTCTGCTGTGATACCAATTGTCACACCACTTCATCTTTTCACGGGCTCATGTCTCATTTCCATTCTTGACTCAGCTTCCCCACACGTCTTGCCACTTCTCCAGGCCCACTCAGGCACCGTTTCTCAGATGCTAAGACCCTGCTGCATCTTTCACCCACTGCAGCAACCGCCACCCTGGATTCCGGACGACTGTTTGCTCACGCAGCTCTCACCAGTCGGAGCTCTTGGAAGGCACACCAGGTCGTAGGCCTGCATCTCCAGGCTCCGGGCCGTCTTTGCCGGCAGAGAGCGGGGCGGATCGGGCTTTGAGTCGCAATTTTGAATCTGAGCTGTGCCACTTAATTCAGGTGTCTGAAAACTTGTTCTGTAGAGAACCAGAGAGTAAATATTTTCAACTTTGCAGACCATCAGGGCTCTGTTGCAAAGCCTTGACTCCGCTGTTGCACAGAAGTAGCCAAAGACTATACGTGAGTAAGTGTGGCTGTGTTTCAACAAAACTTTATCCATGGAAATTTGAATTGCATGTAGTTTCCTCATGTCACGAAATGTTATTTTTCTTGGATAGTTTTGCCAACCATTTGAAAATTTAAAAATAAAAAACCATTCTTCTTCTCGAGCCATAAAAAAACAGGTGAAGGGCCATAGTTTGATGACTCCTACACTTACCAAGTGTGTCACTTTGGGCATAGACTTACATCTCTATGTGACTTAGTTTGATCATCTGTAAAGTGACAGTATCTCCCTCACAGGTTTTTTGCAAAGATTAGTTAACTCATTAGAAGCACTGAGAACACTACCTGGCATATAACACGCGCTCACTCAGTGTTGCTATTCTGGCTGTTATATTTTCTAATAAATGATTCTTTAAAATATATTTGAGTTCATAGCCTGCCATCTCCCCCTATTCAATCACTCAAGTGCTGAACGGTCGATTCTCTCTCTTAAACATCTGGTTCCCTTTCATCACTCCCCTTGCTAATGCCTTAGCTTAGGATCTTGTCATAACTCTCCAGGATTACCACAGAAGACTTTGACTGGTCTCCCTGCCTTCATTCTCCCCTTGTAAACCATCCTGTCCACACTAGTCATTAGGACAAGCAGTCTAAAACCCAGAGGTAACCGTGTCATTCCTCTACGATGACCTCCCTTTACTGTTTCCCCAAAAGGAGTTCTGCAGAGCATTAATTCTAGGAGGGGTAAAAACACATTTGTTTTTTTTTTTTTTAGAAAGACTAAGAGAAGACAAAACTGGATAAAGCAAAATTAAAAAGACTATTGTTTTTCCTGCAGTACTTATCAGAACTTTTAATATGTGAATGTGCATTGTAAATCTCCAAGAAGTTTGCAAAGGGAGGTAATTTCCCAATTTTAAGTGATCATAGTAGGCTCTCCTCAGTGTTTATCTCCCAAGACTACTGTTCTAGGGGACACATTTTGGGGTTGGCCCCATGGCATAGCGGTTAAGTGCACGCGCTCCGCTGCTGGCGGCCTGGGTTCGGATCCCGGGCATGCACCAAGGCATGCTTGTCAAGCCGTGCTGTGGCAGCATCCCATATAAAGTAGAGGAAGATGGGCATGGATGTTAGCCCAGGGCCAATCTTCCTCACAAAAAAAAAAAAAAATTAAGGGACACACTTTGGAAAATGCTAGTCCATCCAAACTCCTTAGCTTGGCATATGTGGTCCTCCAGGGTCCAGCTCCCAACCAGCCTAACTGGCTGTAACTATTCACATGGCTGCCGCTCTTTGGGCATCTCGCTGCGCCCCTCTGCTTGTTGCATCTTCTGTCTGGGATGCTTGCGCTTTTCCCGATCTGTCTGCCTTGTTATTCTTTAAGAAGTACTCCCCACTCACCTTGGGCAAAGTTAAGGGCTTTGCCTTCAAATTCTCCTAGACATTTGTTCATTCCCTGATTGAGTCTCCTAGAGATTTGTTCATTCCTCACTTGTCACATTGCTGTTAATATGCTTATACAGATATATTTTTCCCACAAAACAATGACTTTGAGAGAATAGAAACTATATTCTGACTGTTCATTTTAAAAAAATGCCTTAAAATAAACAGTCTTTCATTTCTAAATCTGATTTCATGTCTCACAGTTACTCTATGATGAAAACACCACAAATACATTACCTCTATTTTCTGGTTGAGGACAATGAGACTTAGCAGTTTAAGTCAGTCATCCTCAAGTCAAAAACTAAATAAGAGTTAGAAACCAGAACGCAATAGCTTTTATACTCCCAGCCCAGGGTCCTTTTCACTCCACTCCACAACCTCCCGTAACATAGCACACCCAGCTAATGCTTGGGTCATAACTCTTCTATGATGCACGCCCTTGACATGGGCATGGGCTAAGGAGCAGCTTCCAGAGGAAACCCAGTGTTGAGTGAGGGCTCAAGTGTTCCCCAGATGGCCCATCTATACAACCAGAGGTCAGAACTCTAGTGCTGATGTCAAATCACAGCTGTTTACAGGAACCCACGAAGAAATCTTACTCTCTCTCTCCTTGGCCAGCCTCCTATGCACTCTCCTCTTCCCTTCCACAGGCTCCTAGCATTGAGTATCCCTTTTTGCCTTTCCTTTCCAGAGCCGTCACCTCTTTTCTATCCCCATGATGGAGTCTTTTCAGTACCCCCACCGCCCCTGCTGGCTGCCTCCTCCAAAAACACACAGGCTAATCACATGGGGATAGCAACCAGGAGGTAACAAAAATGACAACTATGGACAAGTGACTATGAGGATGGTCTCAGCTGGAATTGGGAAAATGTTTTCAGCTCCTCACTCAGCATAAAGCATCTGGGATCCTAGATTTTTCAGGGTTCAGCGTTGTGTTACCTCCCGTCATTTTCGAATGAGCTATTTTTTACAGCCCTCTCTCTCCTTATTTATGAACAGGGCCACCTCATGATGACCTATATTCTCTTTGCACTTTCCAAAAGGCTTTTCTCTGCTTTCTCCCAGTTAACACGTAGGATCCATATTGGTCTGGATATTTATACCTATAGACACCAAAAGGGGAAGAAAAAAGTCTCAAAGTCTCTCAAAAACCCTGTAATGTTTATGGATGAAGGCAGACCTAGGAAGAAAAAAAGTCACACTCAGATGAGATCCTAAAGAGAACTTAAGGAAAGTAGTACTTTACAGAGGTAGGGGCAGGATTAAGAGACTCTTAAAAGAATGGTGAGTAACTCTCGTACTAGCAACAGCAGGAAGCCGGAATGCCTTAACCAGCTCTCCAGGCTGTAGGGGCAAGGAGAGGAAACGGTGTTACTGGAACCAAAGAAGCTTGCCCAGGCAGGACTCTTAGCTGAATGACTTGCAGCCACTGCTGACCTGCAGCTCAGACAACAAAGGAGCAGGGTAAGAAATACTCTGCCTCCTCTCCTCCCACCCTCCAGTCTCCTTCTCGTGCCTCCCATTGCCCAGACCCACTTGGAAGTCAGAGCTCAAGGAAGTTCAGGTGATACAGTTCATAGGGGTCAGAGTCCTGGGCCACAAACAGGGCAGGGAGGAGCAGAGAATAATTGGGGCGGGGTGGGGGGGCGGGGAGAAACATAGAACAACCAACAAAACTCACAATTCCCATGATGCACAGGAAGAAAATACAAGCATCTGCAGGGGTTTTTGTGCAATGTTTACAAAGGTGCCTTGATTTATCCTTTCTCTCCTGATAAAACACCCTCCAGTACTTCCCCTCCCTGGTCTCTCATCGTCTGATGAGAGCAGTCATGCTATAATAAAGGACAACAGTGGGTTTTCTCTTCCCAGTGCATTCTCCCTTTTTCTGATCATAGCACCTCAGCTTCCTTTGGAGAAAACTTCCTCTCAGCCCTTGTGGTCCAGCTGAGCCTCTACTCCCAGTAGCAGAAGTAAGACTGTGAGCCTGGCCTGGCCAGTCAGCATGTTCCATCACCCTGGCCACAGTGCTGGGTTCAGGAATGGGCCTATGACTCAAATTGGCCCCCAAAAACCTAATTCAAAGACTTTTGCTACAAGTCCTGGTAAAGAAAGTATTTTTCAATTTTGTTGTTAACCTGTGAAAATGTGAATCTGGAGTTTCCAGAGGCTATTTTCCCATCTTATGGAGAATCCCTGTCTGAGACAGAAGCTAGCTCAGAGGAATGCAGAACTGAATCATGGACATGGGGAGAGGGAGAAGGGAGGAAAGAGAAGGAGGGAAGGGAGGGAAAGAGAGAACAAGAGAGAGGAAGAGAGATAGAGAGAGATTCCAAGGTCTAAGGAAATTGCTTGAGCTCCTGAATCCAGCTGTGTCTGAACAGTATTCCCGAAGTTTTCTGGTGTGCAATCCCCTAAATTTTTCTTTCAGGCTTGAGGCAATTTAAGTTGGAATTTGGTTACTTGAAACCAAAACCTCCAGATTAGTATAGATGATGTGTAACAAGGGGCCTCACACTGGGACAAGACTGTGCAATGAAATTCTGGAATAAAGATGTTCTTGAGAACTGTAAGACTTGGCCAAGAGCATGCATTAAGCTTCAAGATAGGCTTAGGACATCATATTGTTGATGATGCTGCAGGCTCCTCGTCTCCGAGAGGATGACAAGG